TTGATATCATCTGAATTTGTGGTTCGCAAGAAGGTCGGGAGATCCCTCAAACGGATATCTCTCATTCCTGGGATCCAATCTATTACCGTTTCCAGATAGCCATTTGTTAAACAGCTCTCATCTGGAATAGACAAATGAAATTCAATTGAAGAAACATTTCATTTGCATTTTTAGAAACAAGCAGTTAAGAGTTAACCATAAGTTAAACAACAATTGCTTCAATTAATAGTTATATATTTCACCTTTGAGTGGAGCAAGTCCTTTTTCAACCACAGCGCGAAGTTGTTTAATTCCCATGAAGCTGCAGGCAGCTATAGTGTAGAACAGTACTATAGGGACTCCGATTTCTTCAGCAGCTGTGATTGTGAATGTGGACATGAAACCATCTGAAACTATGCAAGTCACAGGAGGATTGCTGGATGTTGATATGGCATCATTGTTGAGTTTTGCAAGGAGGGCAAGAAAGGGAACCAAGAAATTTTGTTTTCTGATGGATTCACAAAGCAAGGTGACATCTTGTGTGGCGTCTTCATCTGAATCCGGAAGGCTATCCGGGATGGCTTCAAATTGAAAATCAGGCAAGCCATCAAGGGAGTTGGGTCCTAGAGATTTAAGAAAGCGCTTGTGATTGAACTCTGTGTTGACAAAGGTTATATGAAAACCACTGTGGTGGAGGAGCTTTGCAAATTTAAGCACTGCCTTTATATGACTTTGAGCAGGACCTGGAATGCAAACAGCATGTGGCTTAGTAGCTACTTCTGTGAAATCCATCTGAGCTTTTGTGTGTGCATTGCAGTGCTTGCAAATGCAGATTATTCATAAAGCAAAACTGAGCTACTTTTCAATGTGTCCTGTTTTGGCTTTCCGTTTTTCCCCTCCACACAAGTAAGTCTATGCAGATAAGATATCCAGAGAGAGAAGAAAGTTGTCAGACAAATTGAGGTGAGTAGAAGCGAAGGAGAACTAGTATCTTCTATTAGTTTTTCCCCTATAAAGAATAATTTTGTTTCATTATCCTTTCTTGGCCTTTCCCCAATTCTTTCTCCAATTATTGGGCCACAAAAAGTTCAATTCTCATTCTACTTATTCTCTTAGTACCCCATAAAACTGAAAATTTCTCACTTATCCCTCCCGAATCTCTAAAAACTGCTGAAATTTTTTCACTTTACAACTTTTGTCTATTTTCGTCTTCAAAATCGTTAAATGTGTTGACGTGGCAGGGGCATTTTAATAATTCAGCTATTAAAAAACTTCAAAAAAGAAAAAAAAAAACAAATATATATATATATATAATCATGGCTTAATTACTGTTTTACTCCCCGAAACAGGCGATAGGTCTTAGTACCCCATAAAAATGAAAATTTCTCACTTATCCCTCCCGAATCTCTAAAACTGCTGAAATTTTTCCACTTTACAACTTTTGTCTATTTTCGTCTTCAAAATCGTTAAATGTGCTGACGTGGCAGGGGCATTTTAATAATTTAGCTATTAAAAAACTTCATAATCCAAATTAAATATGTTTTTATTTTTAAAGATTAATTTAGCTATTAAAAAAATCTTTGTTTTTGTTCCTCGGGCAGATGATTGTTTTAAGTTTGGTTTTACTTTTCATTGAAGATATCATTTCATAGTTATGGGTTACCTTTTTTTTTTTTTTTTTTGCTAGACTGCAATTTTGTTTCTCTCTCATAATTATCTTTAAAAAATTTCGTGTTTGTTATTAATTTTTTGAATTTTTGGGCTATTTTTATGGTATCTTCATGTGATTTCTTATTTTTATTTTTGTGTATATTTTTTTTTTAATTTTATACAAATTTAATTATTTTTTATATTAAATAATCTAATAAACATTAAAATTAATTTTAAAATAAAAAATTTTGTAGTCCGATGCAGTCCAGCCCATACTTGTACCAAATAACGGACTGGAT